TCCCAACAAGCAAAAGTAAAACAATACACAAAAATCATGAAAGTATTTAAAAAAAAAAAAAACAAAAGAAACAAAAGACAAGACATCTATCAGGCCAAGAAGCAGGCACAAGGAATAAAAATACAACATTAACAAGCAGAGGAACTAATTAGGCCCTCAATCTACAGAAAATAAGCTTAATAAACTATGTTAGTAATTTAAGGGAAAAAACGACTGTAGAAATTGGAAAGGTGAATTTCCTATGAAATTACCATCATTGCAGGTTTTGGAATGAGACCTGTCCTGGCAAAAACAAATGAAATGATCATTATCAAATCCACAGCGCCACCACTACTCTCACAATCGCTGCAACTATGTGCAGTCCAATTCAGAAGGAAACCCATCCTCAGGATTTCAAAATAGTTTGCTTTCAATAGACTTGTGAAATTACTGTAAGTCTGTAAGTATTCATATCCATATACACTGGGGCATCAACAAAAGATTGGCATGACTCTAAGGAGTAGTTACTGCTCTCCAAACCTTCTTCATGGAAAACAGCAAAAGAATAACTTGAAGTATTGCTAGCACATCTTAGTGGATATGTGTGGTAATCTAGCCGCTCAGTGCAGTTATATAAGAAGGAAAAATAGACATCATCAGAACTAAGACTGAATGGAGTTCGATGAAAAGTAGCGTTTTGCAGAGGAATTAGACACATTTCTTCATAGACTACAGCATTGACCACAAGAAAGATATTATTGAAGTACGATATATCTTTGATGATATAATTATCATCGGATATGGTAAGAAATGGGCTGTTGTTTTTGCAGTGATCTCAAAGTTTGGGTAGCCACAGAAGGAATCTTGTTCTTGAAAAATCCAAAAAGGATAGCTAATATAGGGGCCATTTCTGGCCGTTTCTGCATGATCGAGGCATACAAGCCTCAAATTTAGACTCAAGGGATAGAGTTTCATAAGCTAAGGAACTAAAAAAGATGATAACTATACACTTCTAAAGAAAATTTCTCAAGATAAGGAAGCTTTTTGGATCCATGCTGGTAGAAAGAAATGAAGGAAGCACAATAGAGAGTAGAGAAAAGAAGACAAAATGGAAGGAGGCATTGGGAGGAAAATTCTAGAGTTGGTATGATTTGGTTTTGGTGCCTTCAAATTCCCCATGATTTTGAAAACAAGAAGAAAAGGCAAAGATAAGTTTGAAGCGAAAGCAAAGACATGTTGACCATATATCATTTTTTTATTCTGTTTGAGGATATCATATTCAAAACAATGATGTATTTTTGTTCCATTGCATATGGGCCAACAAACAAGAGTACAAGGTATGGGGTGGTGCCTAATAACAACAATTTGAAATGATTCTAATGAAAAGTGAGAACATGATAAAAATATTTTGCTCCCAGACGGATCATGACAGAAAAATGGAAAACTGAGTTGTTTAAACTCCAAAAATAATGTTGTGGATCCTTATATCAGACTCTAAAACCACCCATCCTAATCTAAATCAAAGATTTGCTCTAATGAGCATTGTAGGCAACACATGAGTGTAATAAGCCTGAACAGAAACCAGAATGACTACAAACAACCAAACAAGAAGTCAATGGCTTTGCAAG